AAATTTTTTTTAAATCAACTGATTTAAATCGACCTGATTTAAATCAACCCGACCCTGATTTCAATTATGAAAAAAAGTCAATTGAATACTGTATTATTTTACAGTGACAGGGGGGAAAGCAGACTTTTAAGCATGATTATATTAGTCTACTAAACCTTATATGTTTAATAAAACCAAGGAAAGGAATTCTGAATGTTCAAATATGTAAAAACTGAATACATTTGTTAAAAAGTGATTTAAATCACTGATTTTTATTTTAAAAATCAAGTTGATTGAAATATATAAAAAATCAACTGATTTAAATCAACCCAGCTCTGGTTTCAATTATGGAAAAAAAAGTAAATTGAATACTATTATTTTACAGTGAAAGGGGGGAAAGCAGACTTTTAAACATGATTATATTAGTCTACTTAACCTTATATCTGTTTTATGAAACCAAGGAAGGGAATTCTGAATGTTGAAATATGTAAAAACTGAATAAAAATAAATTTTTTAAAAAGTGATTTAAATCACTGATTTTTATTTAAAAAATCAAGTTGATTTAAATAAAAAAAATCAACTGATTTAAATCAACCTGATTTAAATCAACCCAACCCTGTTTGTTACTCCTGTGTAACACCTCTAATCTTCAGCACTTATGTGACCTTATTTTTTTGTAAGTGCTGTAAAACTCTTACGGAAAAAAAAACCCTGGACAATTTGTTCTGTCAATTTTGAGTGCCTGCAATTGGGTTTTCACGGGTTCTGAGAAGTTGAGGATGTTTGTCTGAGCCAGTTGGTACTTCTGTGAGGATGGCAACTACCAATTCCTCTTGGTCAGGATTTTATATTTGTTACTTTTGAATAATTGCAGGTTTTTTTTTTTGTGTGTGTGTAGTATTTGTAGTTTCTAGTGGGTGGTTGCAGGGTGCCACTTTGTTGCTTCTGTCTGTTCGTCTTCCTGTGTCCCTGACCTGTTATTTTATGTGTGTTTGTGTGTGTGTTTGTGTGTGTGTGTGTTTGTGTTTGTGTTTGAGTGTCTGTGTCTGTGTGTGTGTGTGTGTTTGAGTGTGTATGTGTCTGTGTGTGTGTGTGTGTGTCTGTGTGTGTGTGTGTCTGTGTGTCTCTGTGTGCATGTCTGTGTTTCTCTCTGTGTACTGAAACTGACAGGGATTCCTGGTGTTTTCTCAGAACTGTCAACAAAACGTGGCAAGTCGAGCAGACGACAGAACAAGATGGAGAAATTTGTGGTGAGTTAGTGCTCGTTGACGTCGGTGGAAAACTGGCCTGGTGGTGTAACAGTCTGGTGCTTCTCTGTCGCACGTAGGAGACCCGAGTTCATTTCCCGAGTGGGAAAAATTATGATGGAGTATCTTGTTCTTTCTGCTGGGATGTTGTATCCCTCTCATCCTAGGTTGGCCCAGGAAGGCACGGTCAGGAGCCCGCCTCCTAAATGATCTAAACTGTGTCAACAGGGGTGTAAAAACACCTACAAAAGAAATGTAGAAGGTCATGACTGAGTAATCTAAATAGTTTTGATAGAGGCGCAAAACGTTATGACTTAATGATCTAAATACAGTCTAGCATGCACAAAAATGTTTAAAACCTGTACAAACGTCACTCTCCCCCCCCCCTTCCTCCTCCTCTCATTCTGACCCCCACCTCACTTCCTCTCTCCTTCTCTCTCTCTCCCTCCCTGTCTCTCCCTCCCTCTCTCCCTCCTCTCCTCTCCTTACCCTTCTCCTCCTCTCTTCTCCGACCCGCACCTCACTCCCTCTCTCCCTCCCTCTTCCTCTCCCCCCTCCCCCCACTCCTCAGGATGAGACAGACAGTGAGAACTACATCGAGGACTTCTCGGAGCTGTGCCAGCGCTGTAACAAGAACTACCTGTCGCAGGCCTTGCTGTACACGCAGCGTGCCGTCATGTTGGGCACCGACCGCACGCCCTCGCAGGAGCAGCAGAAGTTGTTGGAGGTATGTACGGACATCGATGGACGGGGTTGTGTGTCTGCCCATATAGTCGGGGGGATTTTGTTCACTTTTTTCTTATTCTCCTCTTTCTTTCCTTACTAAGACCTTGGATGGGTGGTTGTTGGGTGCTCTGGTGTGGATTGCTCCTTCTTTCCTATCAAACGACTATCATCTTCATCTCTCCTCCTTTTTTTCTTTGTATGTTACTCTCTTGTGACACCTCTAATCTTTGGCTCTTATATGACCTTATTGTGTTGCAAGTGACGTAAAACTCTTACTAAAACTAAAAGAATGATAATAATCAATGATGGTAACGATAATAATAAAATTGTCTTTATGTTGTGTCTATCCCTTCTCTCTCCACGTTCTTTTTTTGTATGTTACTCTCTTATAACACTTCTAATCTTCGGCACTTATGTAACCTTATCATGTTACAAGTGCCATAACACTCTTACAAAAAAAATTTCTCTCCGTCTCTCCCCCCTTTCCCTCTCTATCCATCTCCCTTTCCTTCTCTCTCTCTCTCTCTCTCTCTCTCTCTCTCTCTCTC